AAGAACTAAATGCAATATCAATAGCTGAAACTGATTCATTAGGACGATTGACTGTCGTTGATGCACCAGTGTTTAATATACACATATTTAAATCATCTAACAGGTCAATAATTTTTGTTCCTCTAGGATTAATATTACCTGAACCAAAAGCCGTGTGTCGTGCGTTAAAATCTCCCATAACTAAAATAGGAGCTGGCACTGAACATAAAATGCTTCTTAAAACAGAAATTGGAAAACGACCCTTACGTGGTGGACAATACACATCCAAAATTGTAAATGAGCTATCTGTTGTTTGTACTTTTATGGCTACGGCTTGAATACTATCATTGCTTACAATGGGATTTTCGGAACATTTAATTGCGTTCCTACATAAAATGGCAACACCACCTTGCCTGGTGCCGGTATCATTTCTGTTGTCTTTACGAATTAATTTGTAACGTGTTTGTAACCTCTAAAATAAACAAAATCTGTGGGTTTTAGCCATGGAATTAATAAGTACTTCGTACAACTACTTATTAATTCCATGGTTTTAGCTAAGTTTCATTTAAAATACAAATATCTACATTGAATTTGTGCAAAAATTGATTAAGAGGGGCTGTTTTGGCTCAACTGTACATTACCATCGCACGAGTTGAGAGTTGAAATTAATATGGTGAATAGATTACATAGTTAGCAGTGTAATCCTAAAATATTAGCTTTAGGAAACTCGTACTTTTGATAATAAAAATTATTGAAATATTCGAAAATATATGATAGGAAACAGGTTTTATAGGTTAGGAAAGCACAGCGTTTGGTTGTTGCAGTATTTTTTTTTAAATAACGCAAAAAAATAAACATTTTCGTAAAAAAAAATGAACGAAATTCGAAAATGTTTATTTTTTTTGCGTTATTTCAAAAATTTTCCGCAGTATTGAATTAAACAGCACAAATTAATACGTAATTGTAAATTTAACATAGAAATTTACTATAATTAGTATGTAAGCTTTTATTTTTGAACAATTATTTTTTGTTGCAAAAAAATAACGAAACGCGTAAAGAACGCCATGTTGTTTGTTGTTGTTTACTGTTTGATGTATGCATCAATTAGAATTTTGCGTTTTTGCCTGGTTTTAGGTTTAAATTTAGTTTTTCATATAACACAGGAAGTGGTGTTGGGGGGGTGGTTTGGGGGTGGGTTTTTCCCGCTAGGGGTTCGGGGGGAGGGGTTTACCCCGCTCTTTGGTGCGAAAACATGATTTATTGAGGTTATTTTTTTCGAATTTTCAAAAATTAAATTCTCGAAAACTATTAACTTCCTAACTTTGAAACTTTGCACGAAGGGTTCCCTCCCCCCCCCCCTTCCCCCCCTTCCCCCCACCCCTCAAATCGTGCGATGGTAATGTACAGTCCTTCCTAACGAAGTGTTAACAATAGCATTAAGTATTTTTTCGTTATTTATAACATCACTCAATAAGTCTTTGTTTTTTTTTTGTGGTTGAGATTGAGAAGAACTCACTACTTTGGCAAATTTCTGAGTTAAGGCTGGGAAATAAGCACCCAACGTGTTTTTATTTGTAATTTTAGCTTTATTTTCAATTATTTTTTGCTGTTTTACTGGACATATTTTAGCCACAGCAATATGCTCTCCTTTACAATTGATACATAAAGGCTTATCGACATTGGTACAATCTTTATATGAATGTTCTTGAGAACAGATTGAACATACAACATTTCTTTTGCAATATTTGGTTGTGTGTCCAAAACCCATACATTTGTAGCATTGTAATACAGGCTTAATATACTCTTCCACAGGAAGTGTACATAGACCATAACTTACTTGAGCAGGGAGTGCATTACCAGCGAATGTCAGTGAAACTGTCTGCAACGGGACGATACCTTCAGAAGTCTTCTTGGTGAATCTTCGGACAGATAATATTTTCTGGGAACTGATCAATTTATCAAATCAATGCTTGCATGTTAAGTCCGTTGGGATGAATTTGATAACTCCTGTGTATTCTGAATTGGAAGCCGGAATAAAAGCCTTAATTTCATGTGAAGATAAGAATGATGTATTTTTGAGCAACGAGTTGGCATTTTTTGGATTAACAAAAACAATTGCGTATTTCAGTGCATTTACACGTTTTATTTCTTTCACCCCTTTGTTATATCTATGTACTGAATATGTTATTCAAATAAATTGGATCTTTGTTACCGAACCTGATGTTTTCATTGGTGCTTTATATATATACTGGAAAGATAGTACCTGGAGAGTTTTTCTTATGTAATTTTTTCTGTAAAATGGTGCATGTTTACTGTCTTCTTCGTCATCTGAGATGGGTGTATCAATTGCAGTTTTGCGTTTCTTGCTAAGTTTTGTGCTATTACCTCCACTATCGGAGGCCATCGCGATCGTTTTGCACTAGTCACAAGCTAGTTTACTTGCAAATTAGCTCCGAAAAATTTATTTCAAAATTGGCAAAAATTGTCGAACTTCCCGCCTCGAAAGTTCCCGCCTTTTTTTTTTTGAGAAAAGTTAATTTTCTACAGTGACATTTCTTTTTTCTTTTTTTTATAATTTATTAAGGCTTTGGCAAAGTCTTTGAGTACTAGCGAGTGCTTTTGAGTACTTGCGAGTGCCTTTGAGTACTAGCGAGTGCTTTTGAGAGCCTTTGAGTGCCAACGAGTGCCTTTGAGTACTAGTGCGTACCTTTGAGCGCCCGCGAGTGCCTTTAAGTGCCTGTGAGTACTATCGAGTGCCTTTGAGTATTAGCGAGTGCTTTTGAATGCCTACGAGTGCTTTTGAATGCCTACGAGTGCTTTTGA